GACCATCTATACATATACGTTATACGAGTAACTATGTATACATAATGTTCGTTCTTGTCTATTATTATAAAGTTCTGACATTTTTGGGACCTGCAACGCCAAAACGTTCGTGGACACTAATCATTTTATCATTCATCATTAAATCAGATAGGAAATCGTGAAGAGTGAAAAAGTTTTAATCATCATGTTAAATATCAAAGAGTTTTTGAAAAAAACTTTTCATGTTAAAAATTACAAAGCAAAAGAGTTTTACAATTTATTTAATAAATTAAAGAGTAAAATGGTTTCAATTTTATTTTAAAAAGTTTAAATATTATTTTTCTACGTCAGTTACTTGAAATATTTGTATGGAACATCCGAATTTTCTAAAATAATTATAGAACAAAATCATGCATAGAAATTACGCATATAATAATACAGTAAAATCTGGAGAAATAATATGTGTAGTGACGACAATGGCGAAGCGTCACAAGAGGTAATGAGACAGTTTTTTCCTTCAATCTTTATTTGATTTCGATCTTCATGAATTCTCTAAACGAGACAGTGTCTACTCTAATTTAAATTAAAAAATATCAATAATTACATTTAAATTTAAGATGCTGAATACGGAATACATTTCATTATTTCAATGAAAAATAATGATTTTAATTAGTTTTTCCTGAAATCGTTTTGAATGTCGGTTATGTGATTTGGAAAATAGTATTTACATTATTTACAAATAGATGTTGTAAATACCATCCTGTGTACCTCGTTACGATGAGTTATGTACAACAGCAGTCTAGCTGTTGATTTTCGGGACTTGAATATACGCGTTGCATGTCTTAGCAATTATATGAGACACATCTCAAGCTTATCGATGGTTATAATTATTGATATTTTATTTCATATTGTTATAAATAATTTTCAGTTATTTCGTCAATTCCGAGTCGGCGATATTGGTGTTATCGCGACAGTAAAATCAAACTATCTAGTTTGGAAGTTTTCTGTCACTTGTCACTTATGCATGTTTCAATAAGCAATTGTACATATTTTTTAATCGAACAAACCAAAAATAAATTAAGCAATAAAATATATTATATAAGTATTTTAAATTGTGCACTATGGCAATAACAGTTATTTAAATTTGTACTCAGATAAGATTATTTTGTCGTCGCTTGAGCAAAATTAATTATTTTGTTCTAGATTTTTTATCGCTAGGTTACTTTTAAGATAATCAATTTTACATTAACGAAAACTCGTAGATAAAGTTAACATTAGCCTACAATCTGCACATTATGCATCATCTGGGCTTTACCTCGTAACACATGTACAGAATTAACAAAAAAAAAAAATTAAAGATGTAAAAATGCTAAAAGTTTTTTTTTCTTTTTCTCACACGCATACCGATCATAAAACGATTACGGTACGAGCGATGAAAGACGTTTAAACGAATTCGCGTACGAACGAACCGTGGACCGTTGTTAAAGATTACCATACAACAATATTATACATTACATTATATCCTCCATTACATGTCCATTACAGCCGGGCTCTAAAGATCTCTTTGTCATCTGTCCTGCATTGAGTTTACGTATTACGAGACTGTATAACTGTATGACTGTATAATAATACCTAGCGTATTGAAGCACTTCTATTATCACAGCATATTCCAACGTATTTCAACCAATGATGATTTCGGGTAGCGAATAATTTTGACCGGGTCACCGAATAATTTAAAAAAAAAAATGTAGGTACAATATAGTATTTTATAATATTTTGTGCGCAATCGAGTGGTTCCTTCTACAATATGATCTGTATATAAATGCCATCAGCAGTTAAGACTTAAATTATAATGTTTATCAATAAGTTCTATTATAACATGAAATCGTTGCGTCCCACAGTCTTAGTTGTGCATTGTCCTTCGCATTATAATGCGTATTTCGATATCAAATTCGAACGTTTTTCGAACTTCGAAGAAAGCTTCTTTAAATCCTATTATTTATCAACAATCAATATGTATTTCATTTTAATTGAAATTTAACGATGTATGCGCTGAACAGTGTACACGAATCGGCTTTACTATGTGTAATAACAGATACTAATCATATTACTGCGTCATGCGTGTACATTCAATTATAATTATTGCAATCGATTAAAAATTAGGCAGAGGTAGTTAGAGTAACTAACACGCGCGTCTGTATTGTTTGAAATACATTAACGTAAATACGTAAATCCCCTTACTACAGTTCGTATGTAAGCAATAATATTCGGTATTATTTCCAGAGACATATTTAGGAGGGGGCAGGGGAGACTTAGGCCCCAGGCGCCAAATTTTGAGAGGGCGCCAGCCACCAGGCGTCAGAATGGTAGAATCTTAGAAAATAGTTATTTTATATCATTGTCATGAAAATGATTATATTATTATCGTGTCAAAATCATTGACCTACTTCATTATGCTATGTACCAACTACACAAAATTGATTACTGATAGCCTGCCATGTGTAATACTCAATTTGGTAGTAGTGACTTTTAGACTTTGGTAGTTTGGTATCAATCATGGCTAAGTAAATATTTAGCCATGGTATCAATATACGAATGGCTTATAATTATTTCTCCTACGGACCATGCGTCGTGCCATGATCACTGCGACTCTGCCCCTCTTTGTTACATATAGTCACGTGCATAAACGACCGTAGCGCGTAGTTTTATTTTTTCCACATAACCATAAAACTAATAACTATAATAATATAATACTTATACATATAAACATTATAATTTATAATATTGTACACGTATATTTAATGTACGACTGAACAATTACATACCTAATATTATATTGTGAATTGTGAAAACTATTTTTAATTTTTGATATTGTTTTCTGTTGGCTTAGTGGAGCAGAAAACTGAAAACGCTCTCCTGCAAAAAGTGAAGCTCAAGCTAAAATTATTTCAAAAACTGCTAAATTACAAACATATTTGTGGTGCCCAGATAGACAGCCTAACCAAAGTATGTTCATTTATATATTATACACATATTGTTATGTTATTTATTATTCAATGTACATAATTTAAACTAAAGTGTAGATATATTAAATCATCGTTATTTATGCTTAAATGTTTTCAGTTTAAAATGAAGTAAATAATACAAGCAAAAATGATGATAGCTGTACTGTTAAGGAAGATAATCTATCTAATCCAGACGATCTAATTTTATCAAATAACAGCAGTACCGAAACTAGTAAAACTCAATTGTCTACAGAATCTAAAGAAATAAATAATACACCAACACCATGTTTATCCATGCACGAAGATAACAGTCTTCTTAAAAAATATATCATTCCTGAATAAGATTTTTTTTTTTTTCATAATAAGTTACAACTATAAATAAACACATAGAAAGACTATTTTTTTTTTTTTAGTAGTTTCTTATATCAAATTATGATAGAAATTAAAATATAAATACATTTAGTACACTGTACACTACTACATTCAGTTCATTTAAAATGATACCAACCAATACCACTATTCTCTAGTTATATTATGAATTAATCTCTATTGCCTAATGCCTGAATGTTATTAAAAATTGTTATAATATAGTTATACGAGTATATGTATAGTATATTAAATGAATATTGTTACGTGCCAACCGTTTGATCCGTTAATTCAGTTACAACGTCTCAGTCAACGCTTGTGTGGAAGTGTAGTCAGGAATAATTAAGACTTCTTTTTAAAATAATTAAATTTATTTAACTTATAAAAATTATTCTAACTACAAATTTTGTAAATATTCTAGTGATAGAAATTATTTAAGTCCTAACAATTGTACTTATAAAATAATTGGAAATATTTCTAAGTCCAGACCATAACATACACTGACGTGAAGGTGCTCAGTGCAGCATAGACAAGACTCGTCTGATTTGCCCTTGTTTTCGGGTCTCTTTTATATGTGATATTGTATGTGTGTGTGTAAAATCCCAAGTGTGTGTGTGTAAATGAACAAGATAATAAAATAAGACAACTTCCACGAATTGTGAGTGTGCGTGTGCGCTAATGGCAATAAAATATGATAATTTCCCATCGATTCCGCACGTGTGTGTATTACACAATCGCAGATGCAGGGACACAGGATGTGGTCAACCACCCACGTATCTGCGACTCCAATATTCATATTCTCACTTAAACAGACAACCATGTGAACGACTTAACTTATTCACACGCCCAGTTTCGATGTTCATGAGAACCTCTTATAATGTGTGTTTTTATATTATGTGACTACGCAATACGCGACAATATATTTTATCTTTAGAAATGACCCTACCAATTGGATAAAAAATCAAGAAACGATTGATTATTTATCTATAAATGGATTCAATTAAAATTTAGAGAACAATAATTTTCATAAATCAAAAAGAACTTATAATCGAATAATAGGTGGTGTTAAATATACTCGTTTTCTATATTTGTCAAAAAGTTTTTTTGTATCTACTCTTATAAATGATGAAAAAATTAACCGAACCTTTTTGTTTTACTCAGAAATTAAAGGATCAATATTTTGTGCACCCTGCTACTTATTTGGTGGTACTACATTATTTACCACAGTTGGCTTTTCAGATTGGAAAAAAGGAGAAGAAAAAATTAAGCGTCATGAAAATTCAAAAAAAATCACAAATTGTGTATAATTAAAATGAAATAAATAGGAAAAGTATTAAATCGAGTTGATCAAAAGCTGAAGTATCAAGTAGAAACGGAAATAAGATATTGGAAAAATGTATTGACTAGAGCTGTAGCTGTTGTTAAATCACTTTCTTCTCGTGGACTGTCCTTTAGAGAGGATGATGATCATTTTGGATCTGTTCATAATGGGAACTTCATGATGAGCTAAGAGCTATTGCTCAATTCGATCCTTTTTCAGCACAGCATATTGAAAAGTTTGGCAATAAAGGAAAAGGTTCAACATCATACCTGTTTTTTAATATATATGAGTAGTTCATAAGTATAATAGCAGATAACGTTTTACAAGAAATGGTAAAAGAAATAAAAGAAGCTAAATATTTTTCCATCAGTATTGATTCTACTCCTGACCTTAGCCATATAGATCAGCTATCATTTATTTTTCGGTACGTTCAAAATAATGGCAGTCCAGTAGAAAGATTTTTAGGGTTTTTACCCAATTCTGGGCATAAATCTGAAGAGTTAGCAGATGCTGTATTTTTAGTTTTAGAATCGCTTGGATTAGATATAAACAACTGCCGTGGTCAAAGTTACGACAATGCATCTAACATGTCTGGTATGTATACAAGACTTCAAGCTCGCATTAAAGAAGTCAATCCTTTAGCTATATTTTTACCATGCTCGGCATACAGTTTAAATCTTGTTGGTAAATGCGCTGTAGACTGTTGTAGAAATGCTTCTGAATTTTTTAATCTGCTCCAAAATATCTATAAATTTTTCAGTTCTTCTACAAATAGGTGGGAAATATTTCAGAACAATTTAACTATAACAGAAAATGTATCACTTAAAAATTTATCAGATACCAGGTAGTCAGCAAGATCTGATGCAAGTATTAGTTTAAACAAAAATTGGAATGAAATAATTAACGCACTTTTATCAAAAATGATAAATCAGAAAAATCAAGCACAAGATCAGAAGCTAATGGACTATATTTAAAATTAAACTGTCTTGAAACAGCTATTATGGCCACATTATGAGGTGATATACTAGAAAGATTCAACAAAACTAGTAAACAATTGTAGTCAGTTGAGATTGATTTAGAAACAGTGGTATGTTTATACGAATCGTTAATTCGATATTGTAATGAACTGAACACGTCGAGTTTTATCATTACAAAATAAGTTTATTTATAAGCATAATTGTTTTACAAGAATGGATAAAGATATATGTATAAATACATAATAAAATATAACATAACATTTAACATAACAAGTAATATTTAATATTTTTATAACTTACGGCTCTGTAGCACTTTGAAGTAAAACGATAATTTAAATTATTAAATGTTGCGGCGTAAAAGGGGACACGAGTGTATTACGGAGCCCTATAACAATGAAAAATAAAATAGTCAAAGGTGTGGGGTATTACGGCCACACCGGACTATTTACTTACTCACACAGTTTTAAATTTAAAAAGAAAATGATTTACGCGCCGAATATGTCAATGAAAACTGAGATTATTTTGGTGGGGAACGCTGATATCGGTGGGGAGATACTTTTAGGCCAAGCAGTCCGACAGACGGGGTTTTAAGGCCGTACCCTGGACTCTGAATCTTTAGTAATATCTCGCAACCGATATTTGGTCAGAAAGATGTAACGAATTGGTCTGTCGGTCTCATATATATGTGTATTTGGTGTTTATTGATTTAATTTCCCGGGTGAGTAAAAGGTACATGTTTCATTTAATAAGTTTTGGTAGATTAATGTATATTGTTTTTGGAGATATTAATTTATTGTGCACTGTAGGCGTTTCTGAATTTTACTATTTATTTACTGTTAAAGAAAGTTGAAAGTTTATTAATTGTATTAAGAATTTTATGTTTTTTAATATTACCATTAATTATAGAATAGATAGATAGTCCATGGTATAGAGATATTAGGCTACTAAAATTATGTTTGTTCTAGCTGCCGATAGAATGCGTTGTATAATAGAAAAAATAATTATTTTACAATCTGTATAGATAAATACAGAACGAGCGTCGGCGCTGCCGCACTGGGCGGGGCGGGCCACGGGTGCTCATAACTCAGTATTGCATTGCGCCATTGTGGTCAGAGTTATTTATACATTTTATTGATATTTAATTCCTAGCACTCGTACCTAATGATTTACTATTTTAAATGATATTGTTAAATTGATAATCAAATATGATTAAATCCGTTTACGGCGGAATTTTACAGATTTTATGGAAATTACTCAGTTTTTCAACAGTTTCTCACAATTTGTTCTAGTAGATGTGCATAAAGAAAAAATACTATTACTTCTTATCGAAGACCTGATCGTTCTGGCTGTTGGATTCTTATTATAACCACCCTTTTGTCGAAAAATACTAAAAAGATTTTCTAATACATCCTGATTCAAACGGTTGGTCATTAAAAATACTATATCATTAGATTTTTCTTCTTCAAAAATTTGCAATACACCATTAATGGTTTGCTTAAAACTTAAAACAGAGTGGTTGTGTTAATTTTCCTTTTTTTAATTTATGTAAATCTGTGAAGTATTGCGAAGCTTCTAATAAAAAATGTTTTACAGTACCTGAATCAGTTAATACACAGAGATATGGATCATGGCTATATAAAGACCGGCTATTTAAACAATCAAATAAATTATTAATGAACTCAATAAAATCTGCTGTGTTTGAAGCAGTGCTATTTAGAAGTTGTCCTGTTTGTATGCATGTTCAGATTGTTGCTGATATTGAATTGCTTAGTAATTGTGTGGCTAATTTAACACGCATTTTTTGAAAAGAATTTGGATAAATATGAGCATCTGTTATTTTAATGAGAGACCTACTTTATGATTTTTTATGTCTAACTCATAAGTTTTTTTTATGTCATCAAATGAGATTATATTATCACCTTTAATAAAACAGGCTTCAATTAAATTATTTCTTACACTTTTAATTAAATGTGGAACGTCAAATATAGAAAATATTTTATTATTATCAACATAAAAATATGGGCTATCTTCTGAAATATTTAATGATTTTAAAGTACTTTGATTATTTGTGCCTTGATCGCAAACAACAACTTTTGGACACAATCCTACTTCAAATACATTTTTAAGGACATCAATTATTAAATTTTTTAAATTGATTTTGTCAACATCAGAATGAGAAAGAAAATAGGCGACTGGAAATTTCCACGGTGAATAAATACCTCGAGCCATAAACACCAGAACACAGTTAGCACTTTTATTTGTCCTGCCACATTGACCTTATCTTCAAAACCTTCAATGAAATCAAATTCTTTGGAATATTCTATAAATTCTTTTATATACATCTCATCGAAACAAACAGTGCATACTTTTTCTTTATAATCAGTTGATTCAATTTTTTTTTTTTAAGATGACTGAAAAATATTTAATTAAAACCTGGTAAGAATTTTGATTGACCTATCCAATGACGAATTGTTGAAAGTCCTGATAAATTTACTTTTTGGGAACGTAAAAATTTATATGCACTGGGTGATTTATAATATAAATTTAAAGCCAAATTTTTTTAATTTAATGTCCATGGACGTTGTCTATCTTTTTATTGCATAAACACAATTGCTTTGGAGTTAATTGATGAAAATTTATGTAAATTTATTGAATTTTTTAAATTATTATAGCGATTAAAACATCTACCTCTTTTTTTAATTTTGAAATATGTGTGATTTTATTATGAATAATTTTATTTTTTTGTTTTAATTTTTGTTTTAAAATTAATTTTCCGGGAGTATCTTTTTCTAACAAATCACATTTCCTTTTTAAATTTGAGTCTGGCATTTGTATTATATCTGTAATTTTAGTTTTATTAGGAGTAGATAACGATGAAGATGGGCTAAAAAAAACTAACTCTACCATGTCTGATTTTGTGTGTGTATAAGTATTTACTGGAGTTGAAATTGTAAGACATTTTTGTTCAGATGCATCATTTTGGTTAAAACCTAATAATGTAGATGGTTGTTGTTTTTGCTCAGATTTATATTTATATGGAATGGCAGTGCTTACTAAACGGATTTTATTAAATATATTTGTAAAACTCTCGGGGAGGGGGGGGGGAATGCTCTTGACAAATGTAGCTATTGTGAAGTTTTTCCTGTTCAATTGAGAACAAACTTGAGTTTCCTGTAGACATAGAGATAAACCAAATATAATAATTGTTTGAAAATAATCATACATAGGTATTATGGAAATTTATTGGTGTAATGACCATACTAATTATACAATGTTTTGATAATTAAGCAAGAAAAAAAAAATAAAGTATCCAACTATTATTACTCCAGTGTAATAAATAATACTTTTTTTGTTATGTATTAAAGCATTATTAAAATACTTTTATAAAAATATTTAAAACAAATTTTAAATAGGTATTATTTGCTTTTTATAATTAATTAATTAGTACTTAACATGAACTTAGTGATATAGTTTTTTTTTATAGATTTACCTATATTGTTCATTATAGGTACCTTCACCAAAACTCCAAAACAAAAAATCAGTTTATATGTGTTTGATAAATAATATACAAATAACAAAATAAGTTGCTAATAATGTTGTAATAATATTCACAGAGTAAATCGTAAAATATTGACGAAATAATGATAATAAAATAATAATCACTAATTTTATCGATTATAATGGGAATAAATATAATGGTACTTCAATTTTTCATTATACATGAAAAATAATTCTATAAATAGAAAGACGGTATTTTTCGCCGACCCCACGTGATTGCCTTCCCGTCTTCATGACTATCTATGATAGAGGTACCACCTCCTTGCATCACAGCGACGCCAGCGCTCCATAGCGGTTGCATTTTACGAGTAGTCGCCAAATATTAACATTGTGTTGACTATCTATCTATTCTATAATCAATGATATTACATCACGCCAGCGCTATTTACCGTCGTTGTAGTGTGAGATCGACGGGTCGATGCGTGACGTCATGAGATACCGGTGGCGCGGCATAGCGGATGGTAGTAGGTATGTGTGATCGTTACAATATGTATTAGATTTAAGGAGTATGTTTGATATCTGTGAAGAGAGAGCAATTAATAAATTGGGACACAAAACATATCAAGAAATACGCAAAAGAAAAAGAAAATTAACTGCAGATGAAAAAAGAGAAGGAGAAATAAATTTTGAAGTTCGAGACTCTTAAGGATTAATAATTACGCTATTATTGACAATCTACATTCTGAACTAGAAAGAAGAAAATTCTACTATGATGACGCCAATAAAAAATTTAACTTTTTATTTCGAATAATAAAATTATCACCATCAGAAGTTTATAAAAAAGCAGAAATACTTCAATATATATATATATATACAAATGATCTTTCGTCTTCATTTTCTAACGAGTGTATACAATTTAGAACTATTTAATGAACTTAACTGAAAACATAAGACCTAAAATTGTAATGGATATTTGTAAAATTATCAGAACTGAAAAACTTCAAGAACTGTTTCCTTACGTAAATATAGTATTAAGGATTTATTTATGCTGTCCAACATTCAATTGTTCAGCCGAGATATCATTTTCAGCATTAAAGAGAGATAAATCCGTAATATATTTATTTGTATTGAAAATGTTTTTGTTTTTAATAATCACCCCATATCAGAATTAACTGTTATTATTGAAAGAGGGCGCCTTTAAGGAACAGTGCCCCAGGGCGCCAAAAACATAAATACGTCTCTGATTGTTTCTCAATTGATTCGACAAACAGGTTAGTTTCAAGCGTCGGCTCTCAGTGAATGTCAATTGCTAATAATACGTTCCGATTTCGAGTGCGGCTACGAAGACATTCCGTTGCACGCAGTAATTATGCTGTGATGTAGTGTTTTAAAAATCGATTTGTAGTTATGTTAAACATATTACAAATCGATTAAATTACACGAAAAATCGTTGCATTTATTTGAAAGTTAATTTAATACTGTTGAAATGTATTTCGAGACTTCTTTTCAACTCGATTTTATTAAGTCGAAAACAAATTAATTTTACTGAGATGTGTTTTAAAAAATAAAATAAAATATTTTTAAATTGTATTTAAAGCTTTCACACGAAAATTCCCTTGCTTTGATGACATTATTATGAAATTGGCAATTGTATATGGTTTGAATATTTGGAAATATATTCACGAATGAAACAAACAAAATCAATCCTTATGTCGTAAATTACGAATAATTACCTTCATTCAATTTTGTGAATTGGAACAACTAAATTCCAACCAACAAATTTTCATTATAAGTAATCAAACACAATCTCAAATTCCACAATAAAAATAAGTGTAATATATTTTTATTTATTTTTTAGTTTTATTATTACTATTACTATTACTAATCAAAAAGTAATACCAATTTTTCTAAATCTCCTGTATTGTAGTAGTACACGGCGATAAAAAATAGTTTTATTTTATGAAAATTCGAAGAAAAAAAATGATAACATAAATATTGCATGGTTGTTTTTTCGATTTCCTTAAAAATGACTATGAAGTATAAAGATATTTAAGTAGAAATATTTGAATTGAGATTAAATTGTATTTTTAATCATAAATACTAATTAACAAGGAATTAGTATAATGCTTGTACATACTTCTACTCGACTATACTTCACATACTCTTTTATGCCATTGTTGAACTTATACTCGAAGTACACGTTGCATTATCGTTATTCTATGATCGACTAGTTGCGCACCCTCGTTACCCGCTGTATTGGTCTCTGTATCGTTCCGGAGGCCCTCGGGCGTTCACTGTTAAGCATTAATATTAAATAATACGGCTGGAAATAATTGGTTGCACACACATGCACAAATATTATCTGTATTGTGGTTTATTTATTTTTGTTATTGCGTGTGAATTAATTAAGTCCCGACCAGTGGCGTGGCCAAGGGGGGGGGGGCTAAGGGGGCTATAGCCTCCCCCATGGGCCGTGTTTATATGTATAATGTATCTTGACTATTTAATAGAATCAACGCTCGTTTTAATCAAAGGCATATTGATGTTATGCCACTTGAAGGACTTATTCCGGCCAATTTAAATATGTTTGACGATAAAAATATAATAAAAGCTGCTAAAATATATGTCCAAGATCTCCATGATAATACCTCATCTACAATCAGAGCTGACCTGTTCATATGGAGGCAACAATAGAGTCAAAATACTATTCCAAAACCGAATTCTGCTCTTAATTCACTCTCTCATCGCACCAATCTTCGATCTAACATTAAAATACTTTTACAATTATTCGCCACGTTACCAGTTACCTCTTTCACTCTGGAAAGAACGTTTTCAGCACTTAATCGCTTAAAATTTTTTTTAAAAAGCATCATGTCGGAAAACAGACTGAATGGGTTAGCTATGGCTAATATAAATAAAAAAAAGCAATTCGATGTAAGTGAAACAATAACTGAATTTTCCAGAAATTCGCCTAAGAGAATGCAGCTGTCAGAGTGGAGCAAGTGACTGAACACTGAAACCAAAATTATTATTATTATTATAAATTACTAGCTGACCCGGCAAACATTGTTTTATCATATAAATTATTTCTAGAGAATATTTTGCAAGAAAAAAATAACTAATTAAATATAGGCATGTAAGAATGTGGGTAAGGATAAGGATGTAAAGAAGAGATATGGAGTGCTATGAATAGTGACGAAGTATAAAAATGAAAAAACATCAAACATTTATTTTTTTAATAATTTATTAAAATTGATCAATTAAAATGATATATATCGCTAATTATGACAATATTAGTAAAAAACAATATCTATCCCTTAATGCAACAGAGTGTACAATATTTTTTGTTATCCCATCTTTCGCCAACACAAACTGGATGGCTCGAGAGCACACCACGTATAATTATCCGTGTGAAAAATATGATATGCTCAAATCTAAGCTACAGACATTGTTTGGCTTTGAAACTTATTGATAGTCATTGCAAATGCCAATCTAATTGGAAATTTAAGGCGTTTAAATTGTATTGGCACATCTGTGGATATAATAGAAATTCGCGATAATAATATATTTTCACCTCGGAATTTGCCATTTAAAATTATGGCTTCAATAACTTTTTCATTAATTTTTTAACAACTTATCGCGTGCCGTTGTACAACCGTGGTAGGTCAAATTATAAAGCAAAATAACCGGAGAACAAACCTTCAATTGTAAATTATGCGGTAACATGCCTGGTAAGTCCAATGAGTTTAAAAACTCGGTTAGATAATTTACAGCTTCAGTAGCATAGCAAACTATATCTATAGATTTGTATGACACCATGTCTCCTGGTAATAAATGTTTATCTTGAGATTCAATTCGTTGACGTCCACATTTTTTACTACTAAAATTGCCCTTTCTGCCAGCCACTCATGATTTGTATACTGTCTGTGTATATTGGAAAATATCTAGTCAATGAGAGCATCTTGTGAATAAATGATTGTGCAGAAATCGATCGGTAATTTTATACATTCCGTTTCATCTGTAGTAACTTTCCCATCTCCAATATCTAACAATTGTTTTGAGAATCTTCTGCACGCAGCTTTTTTTTGATTAAATCGCAAGTATCAAAATCGTTCGCTCTCTATCTTTACATACATTTCGACCATGAATTCTTGACGAAGCTCATGATATCGTAGAATAATTTTGTCCTGATCGCGTTTAATCATCAACCGATATGCATAATAATTTTTCAAACTAACATTCTTATTTGTTTTGACACCTGTTGCGGGATCTTTTTTTGTTTAATATTTATGCAATACCCGTCATTTACTACCAAAAATAAAATTAATAGTTTTTAAATAATTTTTTTATAGTTTTTTAATAGTTTCTTAATAGTTTTATTTAATAATTCATTTTCAATTGTGCAGTTATCGACCGGGTCAAAAATTATTAAATTAAACTATGATTTATTAAACAATAGCACTTTTCCAAAAAAATTTTTCGTAAAAACCTTCTCCTGGCAATTACAAACAATTAAAAAAATTTGAGCTAAATCGGCCCAGCCGTTCTCAATTGATGAAATTTTATACATTTTTGGCTCCATCTATATATATAAAAATTTCGTGTCACGATGTATGTTCGCGATAATCTCCGAAACTACTGGACCGATTTTGATTAAATTTTTTACACCGTGTGTAATTTGGTCCAACTTAAAATATAGGATAGTTTTTTTTTCAAATTTTTTAATATTTTAAATATTTTAATTAACTTTTTAATAAATGTGTATAATTGCATAGTGTATTTCGGTGTATTTCTATCACCGGAAACATCGATGAAAATTTAAACGCCAATGACATCGGAACTGCATGTATTTTACCTTCAAGCTACATCGGCAGTCCACGGAGCATGCAGGAATACATACAAGATGCGACGACTTATGTACGTCATTACGGTCGACCTGATTTGTTTGTTACATTTACGTGTAATCCAAATTGGGAAGAAATAAAAAAGTTTGTTATTACCAGGCCAACAATCAATACATCGTCACGATATCGTTACACGTGTGTTTAAACAAAAGTTAAAATCTTTAATTAATTTAATCGTAAAATATTCAGTTTTTGGTAACACACGTTGCTGGCTGTATTCTATTGAGTGGCAAAAGCGAGGTTTGCCTCATTCTCATATTTTGGTTTGGCTTGAAGTTAATCGCGCCGTCTCGAGTTTTGTTTGTTATTTTTATTTATACAGTTTAATTTGTACCGGTTTAGTGTTTTCGTATTTTACTTTACCTACACACTAACCATAAATACTTGGTATTGTGTTATTATTGTGCAGTGTTCAGTATTGAATATTCTTTAATTTTTTTTAAATTTAGTATAATGCCGCGGAAATCTAACCTACACAATCAGTATAGTAAAAATGCACGACGTATGCTTGCTAATAGAGCTCATGAATCGGAAGAACAAATTGCAGCAAGAAACGCAGCTCAACAAATCAGAACAGCAGAAATTCGCAGACAAGAGTCTCGAGAACAGCGTGATGAACGTCTACGACAAAATGTATTGAGAACAAGATCGGCGCGAGAACGGCACATAGCCACATTTAGAGAACTTGACAGAGAGCGACAACAAACCAACCGTGCATTAACACGTGCATCATTCGTTCGCCTTGCGTTCGAATATGCACCAGATATCAATTACTCTGCACATACTAAAATTATAATTGGTGCAATGGATAAAATATGCCAATATTGTCAAGCGTTAAAATTCCGCAATGAAACGATTGGTATGTGTTGTGCATCTGGAAAAGTTGTACTGGCACCTCTTCCTATTCCACCGGAACCTTTAAAATCATTTCTTGCTGGCGAATCAGACGATTCGAAATTATTTTTACGTAAGACACGCAAATTCAATTCTTGCTTCCAAATGACGTCCTTTGGCGCAACTAAAATTTGCGACCTCACATCTGATGGAAATAATTTTGTAACTACGTTCAAAATCCAAGGCCAAGTGTACCACAAGATTGGGTCATTAATGCCAATGCCTAATGATGATCAAAAGTTTCTCCAAATTTATTTTATGGGCAGTTGTGAGGAACGCGAAACAACTCGGTGCCTGCATAATTTCATCGAACAAGCAGAAGAGAGAGCAATTGTGGAATCTTTGGAAAACTTTTTTGAAAATTATAATTGGCGTTTAAATTTTCATCGATGTTTCCGGTGATAGAAATACACCGAAATACACCATGCAATTTTACACATTTATTAAAAAGTTAATTAAAATATTTAAAATATTAAAAAATTTGAAAAAAAAACTATCCTATATTTTAAGTTGGACCAAATTACACACGGTGTAAAAAATTTCATCAAAATCGGTCCTGTAGTTTCGGAGATTATCGCGAACATACATCGTGACACGAAATTTTTATATTGTATATAGACTAGCTGTCCCGACATGGCGTTGCCCGCGTATTAGTTGGTTTTTTAGCATTTTCGTAGGCCATGTATTAGTGTTATTATGTATGAGAAAATTTAAAAGTAATAGGTAAAGTATCTAAAAGTTGAAATTAAGTACAAACCAAAATATATATTTTCTGAATTTACATTTTATTCATCTTATATTAAATTATTGTTTGTAATCAGTGACCTACTTACAAAAAATACTATATATTATGTATATGTATATATATATATATATATTACTATATATATATATATATATATATATGTTCTCCTGCAGGTACTTTGTCGGCTTTGATGACAATTTGATAATTATCATTTCTTAATTGAGGCGATACTCTTTTAAATAATTGGATAAGTTGATATAGTTAGATAGGCTAGTTTATATATATATATATATAGATAACTAATAACTAATTATTTATTAACTTTATCGGACTAAATTTACGCCTAAAACTTTCTCTGTGATGTTCTCTTTTTTTTAAAAAAAAACTGCACGACGATCCAATAAGTAGTTTCAGAGTTTTTACCGAACAAAAAAAAAAGCGACTTCATTTTATATAGTAGTATAGATATAGATATATTAATAAATATTTTTAAAATTATACTAAAATGCTTGAATTACGTTTAGAAACTTGGTGGTAGATGGTGGGGGGGTTAAGGGTGAATTCTCATATCCTCTCTTACCTTACTTATCCAAAAAAAGTGGTTAGCCCCCCCCCCCCATTTAAAAATCCTGGCTACGCCACTGGTCCCGACGCGTTATCGGGTATCGGTGCGTTATCTGCGTTGCCGGGTCGTCCATCGCGAAAATATTTATCACGGCCGCCCGCATTTATGTTGTCGTTTCCGTACCTCCAACGCGTTGTGTTAGAATGTTATTACGGTTTTATTTTCTCTAATGGAAAAGCGCTAATAATCGTTATTATTTTTTATTATTATTGTTATAGGCGCGAATCGCCGCAACTTCATAAAATATAATTTGGGTGCACAAATTGCCACAAGTGTATTTTACGTGATACATGTGCTGTATTTTACGAATCTTCGTATTATTATTATTATATTTTTGAGCGTGCGCTAATCGTTGCCAACCGCATTAATATTGAGTTTTTATTATTAATTATATTATTTTAGGTGCGCTAATCACCGTGAGTTTTTTATATTATAATTATTTATACGTGAGCGAATCGCCGTAGTATTTATTGTTTTAATTTATTTATATTGTATGTTAAAGTATATTACAGTGTGTGAACGAATTTAAATTGTGCGTGTGAATTTTAATTATAATTTAAATTAAGGTACAGATTGCAGCTGGCCAGCAGTACTCCGACTAACTTGTGAGTTTTATTTATATTATCTGTTTAATTAGTATTTTTATCGTTGTGCCAACCAGGCAACTCTTTATTATTTATATTATTTATTTTGTTGTTGGGCCAAAAGGGCCATAATTATTTAATTATTATTGTGCCATAAGGGCCATTATAATTATTATTATTTATTATATTGGTTGTGCCGAATCGGCATTTTAGTTAGGCTCAAATAGCCAGAGTATATATTATTATTATTTATACATTTTACGTGTTGCTGTGAATTATTTTTTGTTATTACCATATTAATTTTAAATCTTATAATTTATTATTGGGCCAGAAGGGCCGATTCCTATAATTTATTTTATAAATACAGCAACATAGTTACCATTTTTAGTTGTGTATTGTGTATTATTTTATTCTAGTTCTTAAGTACACACACGACATTTATACACAATTACACACCATCGCATTACGTAGCTCGTCAGTAACTGCCCGGCAATCCCGACCACTACTGTTCGAGCTACTTACACCACTACACACCCAGCTATTTTCACCGTGTTAGTGGTGCACACGGATATTGGTGACCGGACAGCGCATATTATTTTATGCTCCCGGCGCGCACATTCACATTATATGTTTAATAATTTACTGCAACGGGTACAGTATTATCGCGAACACATGTGACCGACCCCAGCCGTTAGGACCGTTTTAAATACATAATAAATACCGCAATAGTAATACCTGTAATGATGATAAATAATAATACTTCCTTGTAATCTAGACGAACGCGCGAGTTTTGAAAAACAATTGACGTATAATCTGTAATGCACACCGCAGAACGGGTGGAAATGTATAATAATATAATACCATGTATAAAATATATATATATATATACATGACGTGTACTGTACTAGTCGAGCATTTAATCGGAGTTCAGAGATGAGTTATGCATATTTAAACCGCTGCTGCTCCGCACAGGATAACGTGAAAATAAATTATTCGATTTCATTTCAGTAGAGCTTATATTTATATATAAAATAAACATCGCCCGACAATGTGCCATTGTTAAACATCCGTCCGCCTCTATCCGTCGTATGTGAACGCAAGAATAAAACTATTCGGAAAACGCGATAAATAATAAATGCGTACATATTCAATCCACGAAAACGTTTGCTCTGTAGTCTCTTGTTTACATTTTTTATTTTTACGATCGTTTTATCCCGTGCGCGGGGGTGAGACGACTTCGGGGATAAGGAGACTTACATTCATTATAACGTCGTCGCGCCCCGCTCCTGTCCTGTATCACAACACCCCATGATGTGAAGAATCAAGTATTACGTATACACAAACAATCGTGAGGGACAAGAGTCTGGCGTTTTCGTGTTATCGCTGTACATGTGTATATACTATATACAATATAGTATCATCAACCCATGATGCAATGTACACACACTTGCAGTGGAATAAAAGTAAAAAAAGAAAGAAAAAAACATAACGAACAAAATTTAAACTTAAAAGAAAGTTTACGTCCGACAAACAAAAAAATTAATTTATAATGAATTTATAAACAGAAAACTAAACTAATTAGACGGACGAAGAAAAGGATTTAAAAACTCAAACCGATAGAAATTAATAAATTATATTTTTATATTTTAGAACAGAATTTTAAATTTTTATAGCCGGTCCGAGAATTATTGATATTAATAGTAATAACTGCAGTTTGTACTGTTCATCAGCAACCGAAAGGTAATAATAAAAAACGAGGTATTTGACCGTCGATGACGATCTTCAGTTAGCGAATTCAAAGGTGATTTTCGCATCGCAGCTCGTGAAATGCACCAGTACATTTCGATAATTTATTTAAAATTTTTTTGAACAAATTTGTAAATTTTGTATACTGTGAAAACGATTAAATTCTAATATGTTTATTTTCTCTAAGAATTTTGAAGAAACATCAATGCCATCTATGATAATTCAATAATTAAACGGTTTTACCGGGCTTTCGATTAATATATGATAAAATATTGATGAACATAATATCAATATAAATTTATATAAATTGCAACGATCACATGTATAATTGCGGGTTTTTAATTGCTTTATACAATTGAAAATAATCCGTACATTATTCTAACGGTGTCATTCGAATTGTGGGTCGTGCAATTAATTTTTTTTTTCAACCCGTATTAGGTTAGTTTACAATGTTTTTAATTTCACTCACGATCTTCGGCAAGTCTTTTTAATTCGGCGTATGTATCAATCCCTGCGTCATTTTTCAGTTGAGATATGTACGAGTTTCTTGGTCTTCATAGTGGTCTTCGTCTTTCAATTGCACCTTCTATTATAGTGTGATGCAATTCTTCATTATAGCGTAAAACGTGACTCATTATGTTCTATCGTTGTCACTTTATGGTTTTAATTATGGAACTTGTTTCTCCAATTTAGGTTAGTACATCTTCATTTGTTATTCTTTCTGTCCAGTTTATCTTTTCCATGAGTCTCCAACATCACATTTCGAATGCTTCAAGGGATCTTTTTTCCTTTTCATTAATAACCCATGTCTCGCAGTCATATAATGCGACATTCTATATAAATATTTTTAAAAATATCTTTTTTGTTACTCGGCTAATTTTTTTCGAAACCAACATTTTCTTTTTCTTGATAAAAGCTGTCTTTGCTTGTCCGATTCTTTGTTTAATTTCCTGTGAGCTTCTTCCATCTAATGTTATTGAACTTCCCAAGTATTTAAAACTAGAAACTTGGGAAATAAGTTGGTTTTCTAAATAAATATTTGCGTTGTTATTATCGTGTATTCGGACAAATTATCAAAATAATACCTTCGCTGACGTGTTGTCTCGTTAAAACTACACAAAAAACAAACAAACTAAGCGAAAATGATGAAATCGTAACTACTGACACAATTAATTTCGACACATTAAAATCCGAGACACTACAAAAACAACAATCAGAAGACGAGTTTTGTAATGTTATAATTTATTATTGGGAGAAACAAAAAGAAATTCTATAAAAAATTTAGGAAATATTTAATAAAAAAATCAACTACTATATTAGGGTGACCATACGTCCTGTTTTTTACAGGATTGTCCTTTATTTCAGCATTGTGTCCTGTTGTCTTGTGTTATGGGCTACCATATTCCTAGAACCACGTATAAATAGAAATCGTGCATATCACAATATTATATGTATTACACATCGTTATATTTAACTAATTGGTCATAAACCGAGTAGGAATATTAAGAGATGTAATAAAATTGATTCCTAGAATAATGAAGTAGGTCAGACGGACAAGGCTTATCACTGAGTATTGCCGAAATAACAAGATATAATAAACTGTTAATCCGTATTCCTAGAATAGTGAATTAGGTCAAAAGAGCAAGGTCTATTGCTGAGTATTGCCGAAACAACAAGACCAATGACGTCAATCAATCCATAT